GTAAAATATCGTGTTATAGAAAATCGCGTAATAGAAATAACAGGGCTTATGGAGAAAATAGGGTTAGGTGCAGATTACTCGAAATCGAAAAAAATTTAGTAGTTAGCCTAACACAAAGGACAGCACAGTCTAAATAAATGTTACATTCATATCTAATAATGAAATCATACAGTAAATTTAACACTTTACCTTGAAAAAATATGAATGTAACTTGATGGGGGAGAAGGGTGATTTTGAGGTTGATAACATCAAGCTTCTCTTCAAGTGTTATATCCTTTCTTTTACGATAATCACCGGGAATTCTATCATCAGAATGCTTTTTGGAGATATTCTTCTTTACCATATTCACAGTTAATACCACAAAATTGGAGATATAGTAAGCAAAAATCGCGTTATAGCAAACAAGCGATCGCGTTATACAAATATTGTTCCGAATTCATAAATCGCGTTAGAGCAAATTCGCGTTATCAAAACACGCGTTATAGCAGAACTCACTGTATATATATATATATATATATATATATATATATATATATATATATATATATATATATATATATATATATATATATATATATATATATATATATATATATATATATATATATATATATATATATATATATATATATATATATATATATATACTGTATATATATATAGTCATTTCTGCTACAACGAGTGTTTTGTCAACGCGAATTGGCTATAACGTGATTGATGAATACAGTGAGTTCTGCTATAACGCGTGTTTTGACAACGCGAATTTGCTCGAACGCGATTTATGAATTGAGGAACGATATTTGTAAAACGCGAACTCGTTTGCTCTAACGCGATTCCACTCGAACGGTTGTTGTGGCTTCAGTTCACGTTCGACATCACATGTTCAATTGAGTTATGTGTTTTGTTTGTGAACAATTGCAGAAATAATGTATGTAATATTTATGTATACAGTATACCTATATATTATAAGTAAATTGTAAAATTTTACATAAAAGAGAAAATCAAATTACATAGCGTTTTACACCCGCGCTCTCTCTACATCACACACAGTGTTTACAGTTCACGTTCGACATCACATATTCAATTGATTTATGTGTTTTGTTTGTGAAGAATTGCAGAAATAATTTATGTAATATTTATGTATACAGTAAACCACTCACAAGGTCCTTCAGTACCACTAATTATTTTATACTGAAACTTACGTTTGGTAAGCTGGATTAAAATGAAGATTACCGGTATATTAAAATAATAAAAATGTATTATAAACCAGTCTAACATACCGTAATAAACACAGCTGCTATTATCATCCCCCCCTCCCCCATTTGCCAGTGACAAGAAAGGGAAAGTGACCTTGACTGTGACCGCCTGTGGCTATTTTTAGCCGTCCTTGTGTTCGGAGGTGGTCAGTAATGCATATCTGTATATTTTCTGATCATAATACTTATCTCTTATAAATAATTCATTTAAAATTTATTTTTTTGCAAAGAATATTCAGTAAATGACTGCATTAATTCTTGAAACTACCTACAGTGGTAAATTTAGGATATAAATAATGAACAGAAGTCACGTCATGGATTCGGAGTTTGGTCCTTAACGATCACCATAAATGTAGCCTCCCTTTTTCGCGAAACACGTATATAAATTAAAGAAAATACTTGCAGTATATTTAATATATTACAGTATATTATATATAAATAAATAAACAAATAAATTCAAATTCCTTATCATCCTGTGTCATATACAGAAATACTTGAGTCCCTGAGCGAGTACACAAAAAGAAAACGGACATCCTGGAGTGGATAGAGAACGGACATCTCTACTGGGGGACTCAAACGTTTCTCATGTTTTGTGGGCGCTCTAGCATAATATGAATAATATGTAAATTACAATATATATATATATATATATATATATATATATATATATATATATATATATATATATATATATATATATATATATATATATATATATATATATATATATATATATATATATATATATACAGCTGTACCCCACTTAACGCGGTCAATTGAACCCAGAGGGTCCCGTGTTAAGTGAAATCCGCGTTAAGTGAACAACAGAACATATGGGATTAATTCCAATAGAAACCAGCCCGACCCCCAAACTCCACTTTTTGAAGGCACATACCTATGTTGTAGTAAAAATAACATCTTAATTTTATGATGGTACATGCACACAATTAATACTTAAGAGAAATACAGTCGCCAAGTAAATGTCCATTCAAATAATGGACTCAACTCCCTCCCCCTCTCACACTACACTCGCTGGCTCTTCCCTCTCAGAGAAATTTTTGGGGGAAAACCACTAAATTTTAATAAATAATACCTCAAACTAAAGTTAGGGTAATACAATTGACATTGCTGGATTCCTCAAACTAAAGTTAGGATAATACAGGTGACATTTGCTGGTTCTTGGCAAGACCAGGAATATTTTGAATATAAATGTCATATATTTTTCAAAAAGATAACATAGTTACTGAAGAGAAAAATTTTATCTAAAAATTGTATGTTTAATGCAAAATATATGTTGTTTATATTCAAAATGATCACCAAATTATAAGATTTCCAGCAATGTAAATTATATTCTGACCGGGTAATTTGTATGAATTTTATGAGCTAAAACAAATATCTTCAGTTAATAAAAAAAAATAATCTTCACAACACTATCTGTCAATCAAAGTACCCCACCTTGCCTCCCCCCTCTTCCAACCGCGCGGTCAGTCCCAACCCTCCCCCCACCAATCCTCCCTTCCAGAGTTTTTAACATTTAATATTAAATAATACCTCAAACTAAAGTTAGGATAATACAATTGACATTGCTGGATTCCTTGTAAGACCAGGAATATTTTGAATATAAATGTCATATATTTTGCACAAAAGATAACATAGTTACCTAGTTTCATGTAAATCCACAATGAAAACGTGGATAAGATAAATCTTGATAAAATCACACGGGAAAATGGAAACAACGGAGTACCTTAGCTTTCGTCTTTATTCAAGACATCTTCAGAGGCAACTAGATTACATGGACAGAGAGAGGCTTAAATATACAGGGTGACCTAAAAACATGAGGTCAGGTCATAATGATGACATCCACTAATCCCCACACCAACCTAGAGAAAAATTTTTATCTAAAAATTGTAAGTTTAAAGCAAAATATATGATGTTTATATTCAAAATGATCACCAAATTATAAGAATTCCAGCAATGTAAATTATATGCTGACCGGGTAATTTGTATGAATTTTATGAGCTAAAACAAATATCTTCAGTTAATAAAAAAAAAATAATCTTCACGACACTATCTGTCAATCAAAGTACCCCACCTTGCCTCCCCCCCTCTTCCAACCGCGCGGTCAGTCCCAACCCTCCCCCCCACCCCCCCACCAATCCTCCCTTCCAGAGTTTTTAACATTTAGTATTAAATAATACCTCAGATTAAAGTTAGGATAATATAATTGACATTGCTGGATTCCTTGTAAGACCAGGAATATTTTGAATATAAATGTCATATATTTTGCACAAAAGATACCATAGTTACCTAGAGAAAAATTTTTATCTAAAAATTGTAAGTTTAAAGCAAAATATATGATGTTTATATTCAAAATGATCACCAAATTATAAGAATTCCAGCAATGTAAATTATATTCTGACCGGGTAATTTGTATGAATTTTATGAGCTAAAACAAATATCTTCAGTTAATAAAAAAAAATAATAATTCTTCACAGGGTAACAGATGGTCGGTTGGTCCCTCCCTCCCCCCCACCCCCCACCAACCGTCCCAAGGAGATGTGTGGGATAACCACTAAATTTTAATAAATAATACCTCAAACTAAAGTTAGGATAATATAATTGACATTGCTGGATTCCTTGTAAGACCAGGAATATTTTGAATATAAATGTCATATATTTTGCACAAAAGATACCATAGTTACCTAGAGAAAAATTTTTATCTAAAAATTGTAAGTTTAAAGCAAAATATATGATGTTTATATTCAAAATGATCACCAAATTATAAGAATTCCAGCAATGTAAATTATATTCTGGCCTGGTAATTTGTATGAATTTTATGAGCTAAAACAGGCAGTCAGGCAGGGTGGCGGGTGGGGCAAATCTAAAAATAGCGTCTCGGACACTCACCGCGTATATGTGGAAAAAATCCGCGTTAAGTGAAAGTTCAGCTTTGGCAAGGCACCGCGTATATGCGAAAACGCGTTAAGTGAAACCGGGTTAGGCGGGGTAAAACTGTATATATATATATATATATATATATATATATATATATATATATATATATATATATATATATATATATATATATATATATATATTGTATTTCAAAGGCAGGTATACTGTACTATATACTGTATTGTATTTCAGAGTGACATGATGTGAGTGTTGAAGACAACCATGGATGATGCCATACTCCAATGGGTGTGTAGTCTTGCCACTGCATTCCGCCAGTCTGCTCATCTCCTCCTTGATCAGCAATATAAGCTTTTATTAGGTGAATACATAATAATTTTGTTGAAGTCTTTTGTTTATAGGAAGTGTTAACCTCTTTTGTCAATACAGGTATCCTCGATCTGTGATATTCTGCTTTAACGATGGTGATGTAAACAATCCGCGTCAACGATGGTCATCGTCTGGCCAGAGGAATTTACAGTCACAAAAATAAGATAAATCACTTCACAGTCACCAAAACAAAGTACAGTGCAGTACTGTACAGTAAAATTTGAACGTTAGTGGTGTCCTTTCACTGTACTACTCGGTCGAGTGTCCTTACTTGGAGCTGGCGGACGCTCGCCCCACAAGGGATCACAGCTCAAGATTGAAGAAGCAGCAGGTCCAGAAAACTGTGAGGGCAAACTTTTTTGGAGTGAGAGTTGTGAACTTTTGGAACAATCTGCCAGAAAGTGTTGTGACGGCACCGAGTGTGAGCTCTTTCAAGACCAGACTTGACCAACAATGGAACGGGTTCAGGTACATTCAGGAGCCAGTGCATGCTCAGTACTTGCCAACAGTGCGTGACAGAGACGTGACCGATTGCTCAAATGGCTAACGAGCTGATCAGTGGTGAAGAGGATAAAAGAAAAGAAGAAAAGGGGTAAGGAAAAAAAAACACCAATGATAAGTAACAACACTGATACTGATCGATAATCGTTGAATATATGATCTCGGCCATGTGTGATCACCATAAAACATATCTTGCTACTGGTGCACTACAGTAACAAGCTATGTTCTATGGTGATCGTTCATATGGTACAGTATTCTGTTTTGGTGACAGTTAAGTGATTTTTGTTGTTTTTTGACTTAAAGTACTTACCGTAGTTTCTTGTTGTCAACACGTGAGCAGTGGTCGCCACTGTCAAAGTTTTTACGTTTTGTGACAAGTTGTTTCACTCTCTTTTTGTGACTCTGAAGTGAATAGTGTTCTTAATGATGTGATGAGTGATGTTTAATTGTTTTATGTCTATTATTAATGTAGGATTTTTTTTTTTGTGATTCATGTGGATGTTGCACTGGCTGGGAACATATCCCATTGTAAATAGGGGTATACCTACTTCAGTGTTGTTGTCATTTCACAACTTTTTCAGTGTACAGAGTAGTTGTGACTTTCTTTTAATGCCATATGATATATTTATGGTACAGGCTGCTCTTCATTTCTCAGTTAGAAAGCTTTATTGAATCTGGTTGTTTGTCAGTAAAGGATATGATTTTTAATAATATTTTAACTTCCATTTATTCAAAGGTAGGCAGGGCTTGAGTTGTGGTCGTATGAACTGTTATGATATACCAGTTAACTTTTTTCAATAATTCATTCCAGTTTTTATACTTCTCAAGCAAGTGCAGTCCAGCTGATACTAGTACAGTACTGTAATACCGTATTGTAATTACAGTAATCTTTTGTTGATGGGAATCTTTGATCCCCAGAACTCCGAGTGGATTTTTATATTAAAATTATTAGTCATTTTAAAATTTAGTTAACATGTTGATAATATATGCAGTACAGGGAACTAGTTTTTTGTGCGCCCATCAGCCGCTTGACTCACCCACCAGGTGTCAGTTTGGCTTTGTTTACAGTGGAGTGAACATCGATTTTGTTGGTATCTTGAATATTTTTGCATTTTTACACGAAAATTATTGGTCATTCTGAAATTTAGTTAACATATTGATAATATATAGCGCAGTGCAGTGTTGATTTAAATAAAATAATCTTGAATCACACCTAGTGAACTTAAAATTTTATTGGTGAAATGACGGCATCAAGCATGGGTCCTCTGAAAGGTGATTTCTCCTCCATCCACACTGCTTTCTCTTCTCCCTTCTTTTCCACCCCCACTTCTAATTCCCATCATCATCATCAACCAGGAACCTTCTACATATACACCTCAAAGTAAGTGCACTATACTGCATTTTTTTTTTTACTTTGTATGTACTTTTCTCTGAGCTGCAACCAATTTCCCAATATCCCATTGAAACAGTGGATTCGGTTAACGAACGATTCTGTGGAACGAATTGTGTTCGTTAACTGAGGGACCACTGTACATATATATATATACTGTAAAACAAAGAGACGATTGAGTTACACTGGGATGTTTTGCTGGCACATCTGCCCAACGCAATCAATATACCAACAAAGTGTCTAGACGAGGTTTGCCATGGATGCTGTTACTACAGTTGAGGCCTTCCAGGATTGTGCTATGGTTCTTCAATTGCTGAAACAAATGGTGCATCTGCAAAAGTTAAAGAAAAGACAATGAGTGTGTTGTGAATTGTTTTTTTTAATTGGCGATGGCTGGCTTGTCAAAGAAGACCCTGAATAATGATTTAATAATACTAAAGAAGTTTTAAAGTGACGAATAAATAGAAACATGTCACCGTTTTATGTGTTGTACTGTATTTTAAATTATTATTGTTTCGTGATTTATTTAAATATTTACTTGAATATTCAACACCTAATATGAAACTAATTTGAGCACTAACCCAGCCAGCAAAGCTCACTGCCAAACTGTTGTCCATTTGGGCCATCAGGCCAGCAGCCAGCAAAATGGGCAACAGTTTTGGAGGAAAGTGCCCAGTGGGCTGCCACCGTTAGCCATGAATTCCTGGCTGGGAGACTGGAAGCTATGTAGCTGGTATGTTAATTTAGATTGGAAAAGTCACGTATCCTGATATATGAGAGTCTTTAGGTTTGCTTCCTGAGGATTATAAGCCATATACCTGGCTAAGTACTGTACAGTAACCACTTCTCTTTTCATCTTGTACATCCTTGGATGTACTGTATTATTTAATTTTCAGCGTGTTTGGTTGACTTTTACAACTGGTGAGGACAGGTGTATTATCACAAATACAATTCTTTTTATTTATAGCTTTGGGATATTTTGAACATTAACCAATATCTTCATTCAACAGACACGTGGTCACTTGGAGAAATTCAAGAAGCATTTAGTTTAATCCTTGAGATAGAGCAGCACACTAACTTCCATGTGCTGCCTCCCAACCACCGCCAGCACTCCGCAATCCCACACCTTCAGTTTATTTATGACCGTCTACAGAAGATCTTTGGTTTAAGACTGTGGGCTAAAGTTGGTGAGTAATTAGAACGTACATTGAACATTAATAGTACAGCATAAACAAACCATTAATTTGATTCTATATATTATGTTGAGTATAAAAATTATATGGTTGTAGTGAAAATTGCAGATAAAGGAAAGAGCATTTTGTTTTCTGGCCTTTTCACTAGAGTTGAAGTGAAGAAAACTTTCGAAAGTGAGGTGAGAGGTTTGAGTAATATCTTTCAAGTATGGAGTTAAGTAACAAAATGGTGTACAGGTATTGTACTGTATTGTATTCACAACAATATGAGATTTTTTTGTTTCCTTGTAGGAGAGATGTATTTTTTTTAAATTTATTTGCTTTGGTAAAATTACTGAAGATGTATTACATTTGGTTCAGCTTTCAGCTGTTAAAGGACAATAGAGTTGGAGACGGAGGTAGACCAGTTAGTGGAGCTTGAATATGGTCGCCCGAAAGTAAATGTTGGTGTTTGACAAAGTTCTTCCATCAGGAGCAAAAGCCTAGTGTACACTGATTGGTATTGGGTCTTGTTACAGGGAAATTAATTAAATTATTTTATTATTTCAGGACAAAGTCTTCCACAGAATGAAACTATAAGTTTACGCTGCTTCCGGAACTTACAAGCTCTGGAGTTATTGCACATTCCTGTGACCAGCCTCAAAGCCCTCCAAACCCTGCGGCCAACACTGCGATCAGTAATAATAGTTAAAGGACTAACACGACTTAGTGATCTGTTCATCCGTTGTGGTGCTGATAAGGTAAATTTTAACTCCATTATTTTTATCTTAATTAAAATACAATGAAATATCAGTTTTTAATATATAATCCAGTGAAAGGACAAGTAAAAAAATGTAGGACTGAAATGTACTGTGGTATTAAAAGAGAGTCACCAAAATTTGTGTGTACACACTTTACATCTGTTACAGGTACAGTACAGCTACAGGTCATACAATGTTTTTGATGGTTATTCAGTAACTAAATCAATTATATTCATTGAACTCTGTGGGATACATTATATAAATCCCAGTAACTGTCTTCCATCACAGCATTGCTGCAATTTTGGAACCTTGGTAATAAGCTGATCGTATTTTAGTTATTTCTTAACCAGAGAAATTGAAACATAAAATTTACTCACATTTTGCTATTTTTGTAGGAATTATACTTGATATGGGGGTGGATGTGGTTACTCTTGGATACATCACTGTGGAAAAGTGGATAGAATGATGGTTATTAGTGTGTCTGTCATCAGTTTTTCATTACTCTCTACTGCTCTCTACACAACTATTGAAAATTATTTTTGCCAAACTTGGTAGTCAGGTCAGAGGGTAAGATGTCATCTTGCCCTCTGACCTGACTACCGACTGCTGCGGTGTTTTTTGAAGATTAGTAGGGTCATTACCTAATACCTGACCATTGTGGACTTGATCTCACCCTCCTCTGTATATATATACCTTGTTATGTACTTCTCCTTAGCCTGTACTCACCCCTGAAGATGTGAATTACACGAAAGCGCTTGGGAACTTCGTGTTTTCTTTTTCCTTGTAGTTATCAGCATATATATATATATATATATATATATATATATATATATATATATATATATATATATATATATATATATATATATATATATATATATATATATATATATATATATATATATATATATATATATATATATATATATATATATATATATATATATATATATATATATATATATATATATATATATATATATATATATATATATATATACACAGTTTTACCCCGCTTAACGCGCTTTCACTTAACGCGTTTTATCATATACGCGGTGCCTTGCCAAAGCTGAACTTTCACTTAACGCGGGTTTTTCCACAGCTACGCAGTGAGTGTCCGGCTCGGATGCTATTTTTAGATTTTGACCACGCGCCACCCACCCGCCCGCCTGCCTGCCTGCCTCTCCCTCCTCCTCCCTCCGCTTGGGTAAGCGGCGCGGTAAGGTTGCGCAGTGTGTGTCTTTGTTGCGTTATCACTGACGTCATATGACGTCTCGGACTGTGATTGGCCATGCAGCCCTACCCCCCTCTGCTGCTAGCTGTAATTGGCTTAAAGTATTATGACGTGACTACCCCGGGGAGGGAGGGAGGGAGGGAGCCAGTCCAAGCCAGTGATAGTGAGAGTGAAGTTGATTTTGAGGGATTTGTCAGGGAAGCCCTGACAACTGTAAGTGACAGTGATATTGATTCACCTAGTAATGGTGATTCACCTAGTAATGGTGATTCACCTGAGGGGCAGTAATCTGCCCTCTGCCTCGGAACCAGCCTCCATCCCCGTATGCCGACCCATCTCTTCTACTACCGTGAGTGTTCCTCAAAATTTTTCGTTTTTTAACCTATTCTTTATTTTTCCTATGTTAACCTTTATCTTTCCTAACCTAACCTCTTCTATATTACTTGTTTTTCATGCCACCATAAAGTTAAGATAGAATTTTTACTACAACATAGTTATTTGTCGTCAAAAAGTGGAGTTTGGGGGTCGGGCTGGGTTCTATTGGAATTAATCCCATATGTTCTGTTATTCACTTAACGCGTTTTCACTTAACGCGGGACCCTCTGGGTTCAATTGACCGCATTAAGTGGGGTACAACTGTATATATATAATATATATATATATATATTATATATATATATATTATATATATATATATATTATATATATATATATTATATATATATATATATATATATATATATATATATATATATATATATATATATATATATATATACATACATACAGCAGTACTCCGCTTAACGCGGTCAATTGAACCCACAGGGTACCGCGTTAAGTGAACAACAGAACATATGGGATTAATTCCAATAGAGACTGGCCCGACCCCCAAACTCCAATTTTTGACGACACACAACTATGTTGTAGTAAAAATTTTATCTTAACTTTATGATGGTATGCACACACAATTAATAATTAAGAGAAATATCAATAATATTAGGTTTTTTAACACTTGCATTAGTAGAAAAGATGGCTGGGCACACGGGGATGGGGGGTTGGTTCCGAGGCAGAGGGCAGATTATTGGCCCTCACCTGTATCACTTGTATCAATTGTATCACTATCCACCACAGAGGCTTGCAGGGCCTCTTTGTCAAACCCCTCAAAGGCCATATAAGTCCATATCCTCACTATAATTATCACTATCACTGACTTGGGCCGGCTGTGGTGGGTGGCGGGTGAAGAACTCGGTAATGTTTTGATGACTGGGCGACCTTGTGCGCATCGTGCCCGCGCCGCTTCCCGCGTATATGATGAAAAATTCCGCGTTAAGTGAAAGTTCAGCTCTGGCGAGGCACCGCGTATATGATAAAACGCGTTAAGTGAAACCGCGTTAGGCGGGGTAATACTGTATATATATATATATATATATATATATATATATATATATATATATATATATATATATATATATATATATATATATATATATATATATATATATATATATTATTTTTCCATTTGTTATAGTGCCTTTTTAGTTTTTCCACTAATGTATTGTAAACTAACTAACAGTGTTTATACTGTATATCAGGCAGGAGAGTTTGCATGGGAGCAACTGCAGGAAGCTGTGTTGGCTCACAACTCATTGTACAGTTTAGACCACAGCCTTAGTCTCCTGCCAAACCTTAAGGTATGTTGCAAGAAATATGTAAGTACTTACTGTATCTTGTACTACTATTGTGGGGATTATTTGAAATTGTATTACATTTGAATTTTTTGTATATTCTGTCATTCAGTATGGTATTTGCTTGCTTCTCTGTTGGTCTGTACTGTTTATAAAGCTAAATGCTTGAGCACTGATGAAATTTGGTGGATTTTTCTTGATAAGATTTGAAGGGATTATGTCTCATTGGTTATTTACGTTCTGTGATGTTTTTTTGGAGTAATTAGGGCATAGAAACTGTCATAATTTATATTATGAATTAATGGTTATATGGCTAACCATTGCAAGCATAGAAAATATACATAAAACGTTTATGATGATGATGATGATTATTACAGTATTATTATTGAAACCAAACTATTTTTGGTACTTAAGCTTTCAATTACAGTTCACACGTATTACAGTGTTTAGGTACATGTATATATTTTCTGGCAATTTGTATGATAGCGCCTTTAGTAGAAATTTGAGGTTTATGGTGCTAATACTGTATATGTTTTTGTTTGAACAGATACTAGACTTAAGCCATTGTGAACTGGAGGATGCCTCAGCTCTGGAGTACCTCCCTACTGTGTCGTTATTAGACCTGAGCCACAACCAACTACGGCTCCTTCCCCGTCTCTCTCCTACTGCTACCTACTCTCTTATAGTTCTCATAGCCAATAACAATCTTTTTTCTCACATAAGTGGTGCGTATATATTTTGTTGTAGTTTTGGGTTGCTTAACAGCCATTTACATTACTCTTTTAAGAATGGACATCATATACAGTAGTATTTTAAGATGAAGTGTTACAACAGTTTTATATTCTGTAAGGATGCTACTTATTTTTCCTTATTTAGGTTTACATGAAATGAATAACATTGAGGAGCTGGATCTGAGGGACAATGTATTAAGTTTGAAGGAAGCGTTGTCACCCATTGGTGCCTTACCTCATATTAGAGTGCTCAAGATAAGTGGTAACCCTATCACATGGGACCTCAACTACAGAAGTCAAATTATCAGACAGCTAAATCCTGCTACTGCCAATCACAAGGTACTATATATGTTGACTTAGTTATGAAATTATTTTCACCATTAACTTTACTAATGTAACACTTGTCATATGTGCAGCTTTATGTTTGATAGAGAGGAACTTATTCATGTATGTGTTAGAACTTGACAACTTGTTAAATATTTGGTCATTTTCTTAGGACACAAAATCATAATAGTCCTTGTGATGTATCATTAACTTGTCCAACTTAACTCTCTTTCATCTTTTATGGTTAAATTTTTTAACTCACTGTGTTTCTTCAATAAATGTTTATTATCACTTTTTTTTACTGCTCATTTAAGATAATGTTGTTTGCAGGTTGTGTTTGATGATGTGCCTCTAACAGGTCAAGAATATGATGAGGTTGGGATGCATGCAGTGCCAGCAGGATCCTCTTACTCCCCAGAACTTCTTTCATCCCTCTCCTCCCTTTGTTCTCCAGTGAATCCAATAAGTCCAGCACATGGACTAATCTCACAGCCTCTGTAATCACCTGAAGAGGCAGATCTGATTCAGCTAGATCCAGTAGACTCCCAACCAGCAAGTTTAGTTAATGATTCAGCTCCTGTATCACTCAAAAACTCAGGTTTGGTTGTGTTCTGCTCTTGGCATTTAGATTGTATATCATCTGGGTATTTAAGAATTGTCTGTTATGTTTTACTTTTGCATGATTTTTAAGTGGTGATGAATTCTTTTAAATCCTTTACACATAAAGATGGTGCATCACAACCACTCTAGATATTAACAGTAGTGTACAGTGTTATGTGAGTGAAATGATGTACAAAATTTCAATTTGAATACATAAGAATTTATGTATTTCCTTATTATTACTTCTGGTAAGGAATCATACTCATATATACAAGAGGCTGTTATAATTTTATAATCACCACCAACCTGATAACTGACTGAAGTATTAATTTATGCTCATTCATCCCTCTGGTAATAAACATCACCCTTGGCTGTGAAACTTTCTTATATTTGACGTAGATTTTTGGTGCTCAATGCAAATACTTCTCTGTTACCGTCTAGTAGAAGTTTTCATGCTAAAAATTTTATAATTGTTGCCCATGCTTGGAAGGCAAGGACAGCTGCCAGTGTGTCCCTTTTTAATATTCATCATACCTGAATGTCATCAAACTTACGTCAAGTAGAGGATGCAAAGGAGACCATTGCCTCTATTTTCATGTACAGTGCTTCTCTTGGGGGTACATGATAACAAATTTTAACTATCTCGATGAGCATGGTTTATATGGAAGATTCTCCTCTCAGATTCAGAAGAGCTAACTCTTAACTATGTTGGATTAAAACTTAATAAAGTTTACCTTTGAAGTATTTTAGGAGCAGACGAATGTCAACTGTCTTTTGATTTATTTTTAGTTCACTTTTGATAGCATGAAACACTGATGTCTATGTTTCCCATTTAT